CGCAGCCCTGCGGCCACCAGGACTGGTACTCACGCCCCGAGCACCCCTGCGAGCCCCCGGCGCAACCCCACATCTCGCAGAGCATCCCCGCATCCCTGCAGAGCATCCCCGCATCTCGCAGAGCATCCCCGCATCCCCCCAGAGCATCCCTGCAGCTCTGCCGAGAATCCCTCCATTCCCTCTTCCCCTCTCAACCCAGGAGTGTCCTTGCATTACCCTAGACCATCCCTGCACCCCCCTAGGACATCCCTACATTCCTCCTTCCCCCTCAACCCGGGAGTATCCCTGAATTCTCCCAGAGTACCCTTGCATTCCCCCCAGGGACATTGCTCCCTCTCCCCAAAGCATCCCCCTCCCCAAGACAGAGTCCATGGGAGGTGCTGATGGTCCCTTCCCCAGTGGAGAAGAGTGGAGGTCAAGGCTTAACTTCTATTTTAATGAGAGGTCAGCCAGGAGTGCTCACCGGGCAGAGGAGCAGGGAGGATGATGCTCTTGCCCGTGCCCCTCACTGGTGGCAGGAGGAAGAGGTAAAGCTGCATGGGAGCAGGCGACTCTTTACCAAGTGGCCATGCCACTTGCTCTGCAAACTGAGTCCTTGCCCACAGTCCCCAGCTCCAGGGAGGTGGATAATGCTCTCACCTCCCTCCATTTGTTTAGTGTTTCGTAGCTAAAGAGAGTAACTCCTGTTTGAATACTTTCTTCAGTTGGTAGTACTCCAGGATAGTGACCTGCCAGTGTAACCCCCCTGTGTGCAGCAGGGAAACGTCTCCACGAGTGTTGTGTCACCAGGGTAGCATCAGCTCACCACAATCTCCACCTCTGGAGAACGGCACAGGGATGTGCAGAGCAGCAAACCAGAGAAGGATACTGCCTGGAGACCCTGGCCAAGCCCCTTTCTTTCTGGGGAAGTCTGATAAGTTGTGTATGCCTTTGAAGAGCAGAGATCACAAAAGCAAAGCAAGAAAACTGCAAACCCAGAAACATGCATGAAGCTAATTCCCAGGGGGGTTGCTGCCTTCTGACTACTCCAGAAGCTATTTTCCCGTCAGAACTGTTTACAGCCTCGCAGAATTCCTCTTCAAATCCACCACCACAGCCAGTGTCTTGATAGCAGATGCTGAGCCTGTTGGGAGGAGGCTGAAAGGGCTCTTTTAAATCACAGCAGATCATCTGCAGCCAGCAGAGCCAGGAGGTGAGAGCACCTCTCAGTGCTCCTGCAGGGGTGGCCTTTGGTGGCCCCCACCCAAGGGTGGCCTCCAGCAAGGACCAGCTTCGTCCTGTGCCTTAACTCGCCCGGCCCTGAGACAACACGCTGGCTTTGAGTTCAGAGCTGGACTTTCTTTTCCTGGGTGCTGTGCCGGGGCAGTGCAGGCACGGCTGTGTCTGACGGGCAGCTGCCTGACTGCGCCGTGTCCCCTTCCTCAGGGAGCCGAGTGTCCCCAAACACTCCACCAAGCAGAGGACTCGGTCCCCGCCGCTGCCGCCTCCCGACGGAGGATGTCACTGTGGGCTCGTGGGAGCCGCGGGTGGGAGAGCAGAGGATGCTGCGGGTGGGATAACGGCTGGAGCCGGGCTCTGAGAAACTTGGTGCGTGGCCTCAGCGCTGCTTTGAGGAAGGTCAGATGTAACAACACACCCGGCTGGATTCCCAGCGCGGTGGGGAGCAGCCTGGCTGTGCCGCTGCAGCACGGCCGCAGCAGAGAGGACCTGAATTTTGTAATTTTGTGCATATCCGCTCAGATGTGATGGAGAAAGGGCTTCCCCCCCCCCTCTCCGTGATGTTTAATGAACCCACAGACCACTTTCATTCTGTGCCTGTGATCTGGCATTATTTGTAATCTCTAGCTATGCAGACAATTATTAGTGTTCGCTGAAATGTTTACAAATTTCAAATTATTGTGTGCACGTTGCAGCATTATCACTAGGAGCTCTTCGCTGTTTGTTAGCTGTCATTCATTATTTAGAGTTTTCACCATCCAGATAGAAAGCAGAAACCGTATTTTCTACCCAAGGTAATTTATAAAGTGATTTGCAAAATGCAGTGTGGACAAATCTCTATTGTTTATCCAGAGTAATTTGCCAGGAGTGCTAGATAAATAGGAGATGACAGAGCTTAGCAGACTGTAGTGTTCCTGGTCCTGATGTTTCTTTCTTGCTTCAGCAGAAAGACAAATACATTTCTAATATATTTCAGGAAACGTGCTATCTTGATAATAAAACAAAGGAAATCACCCATCCTAGAAGGGGTGGTTAAAGCAGGTTACATGCAGACAAGCAAGCAGATGGTACAATAGCTGATGTTTTCACCTGTTTTATGCAGTGCGTATGCCACATGTAGGAACCCCATATATTCATAAGTGCTTATCTATGTTCATATAGGGTGTATTGATCACCCTGCAGTCAGGCCATGGGGTGCTCTTCTGGGCTGGGAGGCCTCCGAAGCCTCAGACCTGGAATACTGCTTAATCCTGGTGTAGAAACAGGGGCCAAAATGGGACCTTTCCGGAGGGTCAGAGCCATAGCTCAGCTATAAGCTCTCCTGAGCCTGGTTTCTGTTTATTCTAAGGTTGTGACTGAGAAGCAGGGGCTGGCAGACTCAGAGGTCCCAGCCCAGAGCTCCCCCTTCACCCACTCTCAAGGGTTTCTGCCCTGCTGCAGGGACGTCCCAGCTGGCTGCAGCGAGGCGCTGGGAGAGCCACAGCTCCCAGCCTGGGTGCTAAGGTAACTCAGTGTCTCCTGAACACACACTCCTGGTTCAGCTGCACTAGCAGACAAGCCCTAGAAGCCTCCAGGAAGGGTGAAGAGCTTGGGGCAGCCCTGCTGCCACTGCCTGTAAAGCAATTCCTCTCCTGGGGGGCTCCTGAGCAAGGGGGCCGGGAGCTCTCCTCCACTCTCTGCTTCCTTCCTACTTTATTTTTGAGAAACATTTAGCTTGAACATTAATTGTGCAGACATTCTGTATCTTTAAAAAGAGGCAAGGGTAATGTGTGGCTTTTTAAGGCTGCTTTGTACTAGAAGTCTGTATTTGGAAGTTGTTCCGCATTCAAGCAGAGAGTGAGTAAGAAGTGAATAACCCTCTTGTAAAATGGCTGTTCTGAGGATTTTCTCTATGATGTGAAGCCTTTGGGCTAAGAGACAAATAGCTTTTGCAGCCTCTTGGTATTCGGGAACTTGAGCTTTGGATGTAATTTAGCAGTTGGCCCTATCCTGGATTTTGGGCACTGCAGAGTCTCCGTGTTGCCACATCCCCGCACGGTGCCTGAGGACCATCAGCTGCTGCTGGCTTTGCTAAGCCTTGCTGGTGACCATCACCACTCTGCCTGGTACTGATTACTGTGGGGAAACAGGCCATCGCTCTGACTCACGGGGTGTTTTGTACATGCTTTGTAGGCATGTGGCTTAGTGCCACTTGTTTCTGTGTCTGGTTTTTATTATTTTAGTTTGGAGGTCCTACAGGAACCAATCTGGAGTTTCCTTTACACAGACATATTTCCTCTGTTCAGCATCGCATTTATGTTTTCTCCTGTGACTTGCAGAATTGCACATAGATTTACAAGCTGGACAGAGGGGGCACAGAGAAGTTCTGTCTTCTCCAAGAACTTGTGTCCAAATAAGTAAAGTTTCTGCACAGACTGATTATGCTGGCCATCCCACAGTGCTGAGATCAGCTCTCCCAACTGGGGCACCTTCTTCTATAGGCCAGGTTTAATTCTCCTTCATAAAATTTAGCATCCTATAGTTTTATTAAATCTCCATAATTCCCATATTATAAAAATACTATGATTTTATTAAACACTCAGTTCAAGATGTTTTCACTGTAACACTCGAGGGATTCCTTGAGCTACAAGGCATATGCTATAATCCAAGACAAATCAGAGCCTATCATACATGCATCTGTTTTGTCTTGGACCGTTGTCACCTCATTGTCACCTCATGCATTTATTTACAATTCATTAAAATCTCAAGAGGACATATGCCAAAACACTGGATGTGGAGAACCATGCTCCAAAACCTGTTTTCAGCTCCTTAGGAGTACTGTAGAGATTCTGAGATTTTGTTAGAAGCTTGTTTGGGCTCTTAGATTTTGTTAGATGCCCCTTCTCCTTCTAATGAACCGAGAAAACCAGATGTAAGGAGTTGGATTGCTCCCTGCGCTGGGAGGCATGTCCTGAAATCATTTTCACGCACATCCCAGTCCAAACCAACTGGGATGGTTGCAGCCAAATTCTACGTGCAAATACCCCTGACATGAGGCAGCAGATGGCCAAAAAGGTTCAGAAATTTTCTGTCCTTCTACTGTAGGCACATCTATAATTCAGTGCTTGCTCTGATGGGTTTGGCTCCAGCTCAGAGATCACACAGTGCTTTGACATGAGTAGAAGTGCCTCTGTCACGGGGCACAGATGTGTGGGCAAAGCATCCCACCCGCGGGTGAGCTCATGCATGTGCCTGTCTGGGCGCTGCTATCTCTTCTTCACGAAGGGGAGAGATGGAAAGTCCTGTTTCTCCTGGAAGAAATTAAATAAAACTGGTAAACTAGGTGCTAATGATGAGGGGGTTATTCATAATCTGTAGGGACATTCCCTGGATGTTAATCAGCCTCATCCCACCCTCCCACGGAGGAATTTGGTACAGGTTTAGATATGCATCATTGCAATTACTCAGTGAGGACAGCTGTGCCCTGAAATCAAGAGTTATGGAAATCAGAAAGCACATTAGCATCAGTAACATTTAATGGGGAAATGAGAGCTTTCTTGACACCTTCTCTTTGATGTATGTCTCCCTTTGTATTTCCTTGGAGGCAGAGCTTCCACACCAAGGAGTTTGCTTGTCCAGGGGGCAATGAGGATGTGCAGGGCTGGAGACAGGTCAAGGTCCAAACCTCCAGGAGAGATGCTGTTACTGCTATGCATGAATTGTAGTTTTTCCATTGCTTATTTCT